AAGGATTTCAGAATAGAGGTCATTGTAGCCGTGACTGGGACCTGGCGATGGCTTTCGGATTGCGTGAGAGCTGTGCACAGGTTTGGAAAACCTGTCTTGACTGTCTTCGTCCTTCTCTTGATTACATTGATGACCAGACACAAATGGTGGGTTTGTACAGGCCTAAGAACAGATTGACACGTCGATAGAGTCAACATGGCAACAGAACTGGAAGAAACGCGCACGAATTGCCATGCTTTCAAGGTGAACACTTTCTGGAACGGTCGACCAGGTAGGACTGGTAGGACTGCGTCGAGAGCGATGTTTCAGTGACAATGAGGCTTGCGCGCCTGTGGGATACAGCTAATGCTGAGGTGCACTAAGGAAGCTAAGGGCGTGTTTGAGGTCGTGGTGAACTATTCATACAAGCAAAGATTTCCTACTGCAAATGTTCCTTAAGAAGCAGGTATGAGATAACGGGAACTACTCGTAAGAAGAACACCTAACGATGTGCTTCGCAGGATGATGCATGGGCGGTGATTCTGCGTATGATAATGTGCGTCCATTGCATTAGTTACGCACCGGAAAGCTGGTATTCATGCCATTTTCACCCTACTAATCAATAGGTCGGTTTACATTTGGATAATGGGGTCCTCAAAACGGGGTTTTGTGCCAGGCTGAAGTCCCATTGTCACAGCTATTCTGCCACCAAAATGATGAGAATAAAGTGACCTATATGCACTGTCATTAGTGCCTAGACGCTATACCTGTTGAAACACCAAGTAATTCCGCAGCCTATAGAGATGGGTCCATTTAATGTCGTTTGGTTTCAAGTGCACACCTGCCTGGTTGAAACATTCGAAATTTGCTGAATTTGAGGAACAGACGCTTTAGCTTAACAAAGGACACGTACAGAACCTAGTTTCAAACTGACCAAAGGTTAGGCTATCAGACTACAACAGGCTTTGTTAATTTATTGTGTTAAAACATTCGGTACTTCTCACTGTGTCCGTTCTGACCACTTTGACGAATTGCACCTAAAGTTCTTCCCGGTTGAAACCAAGCTCCTTATTAGCTGTTGGGATAGGCTTCATACAACTGCTACCAAGCATGCAGTTGGTTATCAGCTGATAAACCCCTTTACTGATACATGGACTTGCTACATAGAAATGCCAAAGAAGCACTCAGTTTTATTGCCAAAACAGCGCTGTAGAAATCTAGTCCTTCGGGAGAGGTCAGGTTTCAGAATGATAGTGATATCATAGCTCGTGTTACCACGATTTTTTCTACAAGATTTGCATGAAAACTTACTTTTCGTAATCAAGCATTTTATAAAGCGGGAATTTTATAAGCCAATCAAATTTATGTTTGCGATTCCCAGGTGAGTTTTGTTTGCATGAGAGCATCTGTTTACGACAACTTACCATCATATCATCCAGAGTCGATTGTGTTATTCTTTTGCAGTCGTTCATGACATTCAAGTGTAGCTTTTGAATTATTGTTGGTTTGTTCCTGTAGAAATCGCTTCGAATAGCCCTAAAACAAAAGCTCAATGGGGCTCAGCTAAGGCGATTTGGATGGCCAATTCAACGGATCCCTCGAGTGATTCACTTATCGGTAAATGTTTCATTTAAATATTGACATACACCTCGAGAGTAGGGTGGCCATCTTGATGAAGCAAAACAATACTGATGAGGCAGGGCTCCTCAAGCTTCGGAACTGCGTGGTGTTGAAGTAGGTATATTTTTGATTGAGATACAGTGGACAGAAATTATACGTTAATGAGAGCAACTGCCACTGACCATACCCGTGAGAAGAAAGTCAGCCGAAACCATCAACTCAGTTGTTTGTTGAGTGCTGAAAGGCCTGTAGCCACGTTGGCTGTATTTAACCAATAAAGAAGTTTTGCAAACGTTGTATCCAGATGGAAACCAGCCTCTCCAATAAACAGATTGGGAGGAAAACCCTTGAATTAAGAGCCAACTGCAGAAAGTCTGTCCAAATCATCCGGATGCAAATGAATGCAACATTCAGTTCACAAGACCTTCGAATTCGTCGCTCCTTTATACCTCATACAACGGATATCTCGATGTGTTGTAAACCTGTGCAATCTGCCTTTGGCCCTGTGTGGAATTTCCATCCCAATCTCGGAGGACTTCATACACCAGACGTGGTTGATTCACTTGTCAGAAGCTATCGAAAGCGTCTGTTCGTCACGGACGTGCATTCTTGTTCGCATTGTAAGATAACCATACAACAGCACTGTTTGTACGAGTACGTAAAATGGCAGATGAATCAGCTAACTGTTCAAAGCTGAATATAGGGTATAAACTTCGTTCAATTAAAGTGCCATATGTAGCGTGAACCGTTTGAAGGCCTCACAGACGTTTTGATCGTGCCACCTTTGTCTCGTCATCCGTCTCACAAGGCGAACGAAAAGGTCGAACGCTGTCCAGGTTTTCCAAAACTGCGTGCAGGTCTCATGTGACCCAGAGGACGCTCGCCACCGCTCATCCGATCTACATCTAAAGCGAGCGTTTTGCGTTTACTCGACCTCAATCATGTACTAGTGAGAATGGCTACATTAGCCGCAATTCAATGAACGCATTGAAGGCACTTCTTACCGAACAGTCCGAGGTACACGTATAGTACGGTATTTTCGCTGCGCGCGCGGATTTTTGGCCACAGTAAACGAAGATTTTCCGCGATAACCACGGTTGTCCATGTCATAAACCTGTGTTGCGGCAGGTTAAAGTTCCGAATACCGACATTCCGTGAAATGTCTATGACTTGGTTCCTTCTGTCTACTCTCTCCTCACTATGAAGGCTTCTTGGACTAATCACGCTATAACCAAATGAAATCATCCTTCACTTCAATCGTGGTACTCGTTGCATCCTTTTGCATGAAGCCAGATCGTAACAGAACACAAAATGTACAGAAACAGTCTGGTAGGCTTCAGGCGTTGGTGGCTCTACTTGCCTGGGAAGTCATGAAGTGGGGAGCACTCGATCGACACGTTCAGGGCAGTCTCTGTGCCCTCAATCGGGTTGTCTGACAAACCAATCACATCACTGAAGCGTGAACATATCAAAAGTGAAAATTCAGAGGTCCAGCATGGAGTGGCGCTAACACGCTTACCTCGCACTTCATATATTCGGAGTTCAAACCCCGACACAGCTATGAAGCGAAACTCTAGTCTACTCCTTCCATATTCAGTATGGACTCACCAGTTTAACCACACCAGAACAGGACGACCACCGTCCAAACGGGAGTAACGTGAATATGGATTCTTCAAATTCCGCAAACACTCACAACCCATAAAGCACAATCGTCCGCGAACAGCGGTTTACTGACAGTGCTTTGTGACAAAACGCTTGGGATTGTGAAAACGAGCATAATGTAGGTATTCAATTGGGAAACCATATTCGTAGTAGAGAATGGCATCCGCGTAGATGGTTGGTGCGTCCATTCTGAACATTTATGCCAACAACCTATCTCAGAGCAGCCAAAACTTTCACTTGCATCTTTACACTTACGCTGTGCTAATGTTCTTGTTGGAGTCTCAATCACGTGAAGATCAGAAGTTAAGTTTGGTTAGCTCAGAGGCTTTACAAGACCAAGTAGAGGGGACTCTATGGCGAGTTGAAGGCGTCGTGTGATTCACCTGTCTCGCTGTTTTACGCATTCGTTGATTGGATTTCAAAGACTTTCCATCCTTCGGTGAGGCTTATTTTCTAGTTTCTATTTCCATTCAATTTCTATTTGAATTTTCTATTTCCAAGATAGTAAGACTCTAGGTCCTATGAAAGGGATGGTTTTTGTACCAACAAAATGTCGAAAATACTTTCGTATAGCTGGTTTATGGCAATGGAGGTCCTTTCGCACAATAATCAAAGTGTGTCCGCCGATGACTCTGGATTTCCGGAGATTTGGTTTGGAATTGGAAGCAATGAAAGTGGATGCGTGCGGATCAATTCAATACTTCTTTCCGATAGTTTGGGAATCTTGTTCTTTTTGCCTACTCTGAACACGCCTCGTGATGTTGTCGGTAGTAAGCACCGTTTTCTTGCGTTTGAGTAGTAGAAGGTTAAAGTAGCCAAAACGAATTCTCAACTTTTCGTTATCTGAGGCACTACCATTGGGTGCGGCTGAGATTCTGTCACATCCACTTTTCAATCATTCTTTCAACAACACCTGTTTATCAGAGAGATATTTTTGTACATTCTGTGTTTTGATTCGCACTCCGTGAACAAAACTCAGTTGATCTCATTCATTGTAAGTTCGTCACGGAATGTATTGTCCCCTAGTTCTGAGTGAATTTCGGCGAACTTCCCTCATTCGGTTCTGCGAGATTCCTTTCTGAAACAGTAAGAGACGAGTAAGATAGTGTTTATACGCTCGTTCAAAGGTGCACTGGCGATGCATCGTCGTTGTTGCCCATATTCCAACACTCGGAATCTGTTCATTAATGTGGTCCATTCCAGAAATAGGAGGCATATGCTGAGACGTTACGGCTGGTACAAGCTACTTTTGGGATGAGTTTCCATGTTTCGATACGTGCATATGCTGTGTGCGAGAAGGGGCGGTCACGCTGTGTATCCCAATTTGTTTCTGGACGCGAAGGAATATGCTGCAAATACAAGCGTTTGTGCCGTTAACAATCTCGGCTTACAAAAGCGCACTCGAGCGGCGTACCTATAAGGTCTTTTAGTCCTTTTTTTAATTCTGATGCCAACTCGAGTTCGTGCCCTTAGTACTTTCCCAGATAGTTACAAAAGGGGCTGACCTTGCCTAATATGTATGAGTACGTTGGTATGTATATGTATGTGTACAATGAAGTAAATAAATAGATAAAGTTCTAAAGCGTCTTGAAAGGAACCAAAAAGAAAAAAACCAATACGAAAATGAGAAAACGCAATTGGTTGAACCTCTTGGCCAATCGCAGGCTACTAGGCTCGAACTTGAAAGTTTCAATTGTTTCATTCCGTGTGTTCCCACATCACGGTCCAACTACTACACCATGGTATTGTACACGTACTCAGATGCTGACTGGATGTACAAAGTCAATATCTTTCGCCTCGTTCTCTACTACGCTGGTATGGCAGCAAATCTATTTCTAACCATCACAGCAGCGCACTGCAACTTCTCCTACATCATTCCAAAGGTCTTGTTGATTACGCAATCCTCTGTCGACTCTCTGGTGTGTTTCATTTCAGCAATGTACATTCACTTACAAGAAGTTCAAAATTTTGATACTCCGCCCAAATCGTTAGTTTTGTGTCATCTGTGGGTCAGTAACTGGCCCTTGTTCTTCCTTTTGGCATGTGGACTGCTCAACCTGCTATCACTCACCTTCGATCGGTTTTGGTCAGTCGTGTTTCCCACTACTTACAAATCTCACACACGTTTAAGGATTTCTCTCACCTACATATCTCTCATCATAACTGCTTTTCTCCTGAGTTTACCAATCTTGCTTCAGGTGAGCTTTGACCAAGGAAAGTGCTTTGTTGTACCAGGACCAAGTCTGTTGATCAACTCTTACGTCTGGGTTGTAGGAACATTCCTTCTTCCAACGTTTCTCCACGGGTTGTTTTATATATGGATTTTGTCGGTTCTGCGTGGAGACACAGAGTTCTACAAACTGGCGAAAAACCGTTTTACAACCACTGTTCTGATGACAGTAATTAGTCACACTTTGTTGATTGTCCCGGATGCATTATACTTCCTGATTGGACATTCGGTTGGAGTGGACTACCTTCCAGGAACACCCGTCCAAACGTTCACTGCTACATGTTTGACCTTGAACAGCTGTCTTTCGCCGATCACATATTTCGTGTTGATGAAGAAGTTACAACGAACGGCACTACGTATGCTGATGACTATTTGTGGAAAGACCAGATCCATGGGAAGCATGACCGAAACCGAATACTCCAATACACATTCGCAAATGTGATGGAAAGGGAACGGCACGGGCACGCTGGTGCAGGACTACCAAGAAGAAAACCTTAGAGATTCACATCCCATTTAAATCCAATTTCAATCGTGCATAATCAATGATTTTACCCTATTTCAGGTCCAAGCCTTGGTGGGTAATCGTCTGCCTCCCATAGCTGACAAACAACGTTTGCAACCTACTTGAGAATCATAGATCATTGGAATTTCGGTCAGGATTTGCAAATGGGAGAGGCAGGTGCCAGCCTTCTATTTATTAAGCTTTTTTGATGGTGTATATTTTTCTTCGTGCGGAAATCAGATATTATCCATTTGTAGAACATTGTGTAACTTTGTGCAACGAACAGTGCAGTCGGTGTCACCTAACCCTATTATTATTAATGGTTCTGACACCATTATTGTTACTCTAAAAAGTATGGTTCAAAATACCATGAGCACCCGTTTTTTAACAATATTTGGACGCGAAGATATCGGCGGTGGGAGTGAACTGAAGGCACCTAATTTTCATTTTTAACTCATCTAAATCCTCTCTCTACTATTTGGAAGCTCGATAGGAGGATTTATTTAATGTCAGGTCATTGTCATCGACACCATTGGCAGGCCGATCATGAAAGAACTCTGATGTTTCATCCCCGCAACATAAGCATCGGGGTCCGAAGAGTGATCTCGCAGTGTCTTCAGACGTGGCGGCAGAGCTAATTGGAGATGTTGTAGCTAACGCCAGCGGGCTGGGACTCACCTGTTAGTCCTTAATAACGATGTGGCTGGTAAGGGGATAAGGATGTCCAGAGGAACGAATATGTGGAAGTTGAAGAGGGCAGGCACCGGCATTAGCCTGTCTACGCTCAACTGCCTTGCCGTAAATAACGTGACCCAGATGATGGCATCATGCAGCGGCTGATGAGGCATGATGTTATTTTTACTTGTGTAATTCGTGTTTGTACACGGCCTGAGATATTGCCATGGCGTCCAGGCCTTGGTAGGAAGAGGGTCCTAAGCCAAAGATTTTGGCTCGAACGCTTTCCCGCAAAGCAGGGGTGATTGGCGTGAGACCAACAAATCGGTCTATGTTTTTAAGAACAAATCGCCACACATGTTCAAGCCCACAACTTGAAGAGCCAGGACACCGTGTCAGTCAGACCTTCAACTAGGTTTGAGGCTCTATGAGTGTCATACGTACAATTCCCGGTGTAGCTCAATGAGAACTCAATGGAAGTGCACAAACCGTCAAACCACGGTAAGCTGCAGTTTCCCCGTAACGGTGTTGTCAGGTAGCACTGAACTTAATGATTTTTCGCATGACCGGAAAAACGTCCTAGTTGTTTTGAGTTTTCCAAAAATACGGTACAGGAGGCATAGAGACACTTGCCCGGGAAAAGGTGGGCTATGTAGAACTACTGAAAACTGATAACCTGACTGTGATGTCTGACGTATTTTGAGAAAAACTTCAGCCTAAGAACTGTCACCGAGCATCAAGCATTGATTGCTTTTTTAAGTAGTATACATCGGTGTTAGTGACATATTTTTCCGACCTATTAGTCCAGCAACGCGGTTGAAATAGCCTTCTCATTTGGTGATTGGAGTAAGTTCTGGAATCTACTTCAGACCGTCTTTCAAAGTTATATTTTTAATTCTGCGTGACTCTTGTCTCATTGTGTTGGTTTTTCCGGTTGGCCAAATTCTGATGTTGAGCGCTACTGGACTGAAACCTCACTGGGTGTGTTAGCACAACGACTGTGAAGTTTCGGAAGGTCTGTGACACCAAAAATGAGTTAGTAAACTTCTGACTCAGGAATAGCACAGCGGTGGCCCGTTAATGTACGGCAAAGTGATTTGTGAAGGTCGTGAAGCCAAAAATGGAATAATACGATAGTTTTTACAAGTACCGTTTTCACTTCTTGATGCTTTTACGCCCATGGACTCAAGTAACGATTTATTCGACCCTGAAAACGATTTCCAATGCGATTTGTCACCTGACGGCCGAAAATCACTTTGTTCCATTCACTGGGATCTCAGTAGTGCATGAGTGGTCTCCTAATTTGGCTGTGTGGTGTATGGTCATCGTTTGTCACAAAACTCTCTGATATACTTGATCTAAGGGAATATTGGCAGAACTGAACCGTATTCCTCGTCGTTAAATCCCAAGAAGTAATTTAAAATTGCAAATTAAAGGCTTTAACAGAAGAATCACATCGGAATAACTTTGAGTGTGTCTATGCTGCGAAGCTTATCGGAGACTTCAAACAGTAAAAACTTTTCGAACAAATACTGCTTGACCGATTATTACATGTGAAATTTGCCCTAAATGTTCCGTCACACGTGGACCGAGAAGCAAAGTCAGAGGCCTCAGCGGTCGCACGCTTTGTAAGTCTTATGGACCGTTCAAAAGTATGAGGTTCTAGTAGCTATGACAATAGAAAAAAACAACAGAACAGAACTTAATGACTTGTTCACTTGGTCTGATGGAGCTTTTGTGTCAAAAGCGAAACGTTGTCCAAATAAAAACCACCGGTTGTTTACCAAGTCCTTCTGAAACGAAAACCTAGAAAAGCCTCTGACAAAGATAGTCGATCGTAGTGAGATGGATCTCACTTTATTCTTCATGACAGATGCTGATGCTTACAAACCCGAGTACGCGTCTGCCAAAGCAATATGAACCATTCCGTCCTTCTCATCGATTACTCGGTCGATTACTATAGATATTTTCCGTCCTTTCCATTGATTCTAGTCGACTCCGCAACATTTCGTGAAATGGATCTGATTTGGAGGATATCCCTTATCTGGACTTAAAGCTTATCGGGTGTGAGTGAGGTATCATCTTTTAGGTCTTGCTTTCTAGTTCTTTCGGAGATATCTAACTATCCCTAAAGCCTTCAGACTTCATCCCGAAAGAAAGTTTGTCTCGGAAGGAAAGTAATGTAAAGGTTACCCATAATGCCATGGTTTTTTTACGTCGAGTAGATTGGTCAACCGCTAAAACATCACAGTAGGTCCAGTCAGATCAAACTATGCGTGCAGCAGCAACAGTCGAACGGCAAAGTCGCTGCTCAAGCCAGACAACCAACAAAAGTTACTTGGTCACAACTGCGGCGTAAACCAACTTGAACACAGTTTGGCTGCTGGAGTAATGGGCGCTGACTGATTGCTCGACCGGGTTTGAATGACCGGATACAGTCGACCGAAAAAAGCTAGAAAAACAACTAGCCAGTATGAGCATATACCACTTGGTGGATCAAAACCGGTCAACATAGTAACTCATGTAGTAAATGAAATTATCAACCAGAAACAATGGAAAGGACATCGGATAACACCAAAATTTTACAGTCCCATGGCTTACCAGAGAGCCCTCAAGATCATCAAAATACAAGATAGAAACAGACTTCTGGTGGAGGTTAAAACATATAGGATCTGTTGGTTATGTGTTGGAATGTTGGTAGCTCGGGTGTGTTAGTTGGTTATTGATCAGGTGACTGTCGATCTGTTCGCCGAGCTTGGCAATCGATTTGCAAACGTTTCGTCACCATTCGAGGAGACATCTTTAGTGCGCTGTTGGTTGGGAAGTTCCTCTCTTCGTGCCTGCGTTTATATAGTCTACAAAGGGCAGCCTTTGCGCTGTAACCTGGATTCTGGTTGGTCTGATCTTACTGTGTGTTGAGTTGTGGTTTGTATTTCTGGACGTACATTGTCGTCTCATTCGGTTCGCCCGTTCTTGATCCGTATTGCTTCGTAGTCGGCTCCTCTGTTGGTTTGTGCCACTGTACCCAACCAACAGCCCACTGAAGATGTCTCCTCGAATGGCGACGAAACGTTTGCAAATCAATTGACAAGCTCGGCGACCAGATCAACAGCCACCTGATCAATTACCACCTGGGATATGGACACAGCAACATCAGTCGTGGACAGTTTCCCATTGAGAGGGAACACAAGAATATCATGTTGTCCTTTGATGGACTTCACTCTTGACCCCATTTGATCGCAAACGTTTCGAGGAAATCATTTCAGAATCAAACCAACACATCCGGGACAGTTAAACCAGGAAATATACAAATGTATCAACTTTTGGATTATTGCGTGCTAGCCCATTTCAGATTTGGCGGAATTATATATGGCCTTCATTTTACCTGACTGAGCGCGGAACTGGAGTTCTTTTTTGTATGGAACATCTTGTAGACAGTTGTTGGTTAACCTACAACCGTAGGAGGAACCAGACTTCCCATATTATTTTCATTTTTAGACATTATACGTACGTAGCTGTGACCTTTGTTATTCATTTGATGGAACAAACCCTCAAAAACTTTCAAATGAGATGCAAAATTCAGTTGAATGAGTGGGTAAGCAAGGAGCATCATAGTGATGAGTAGGCTGTTTTTTAATTGCGACCCAGTCGGCAATTGACTGAAGCCTACCGATTGCAGCAGTCCTGTCATGTGATCAGCCGTTGAATGCGTTGAACGAGAGGCGTGCGGTAACAGCTCCACAGGAATTTACCAGTCTTACGTACTGCTTACTTATTGAATCGGCGAGTAAAAGACGGAAGAAACGATTGCTGTGTACGCAGAAATCTACTTCAGTCAGACTAGAACAGCCGTTCTAAATCTGGGGATCGCGAGGCGTGGCCATGGTTTCTTCAATTTCAGGCTATTTTCACAGAAAGGCCACCAACATAGTACAATACTCATTTATTCAGCTACAGCACATGATAAGTATGATTGACATAAGCTCAATAAATTCCTTCCTCATAGAGTATTCTCCTAGATCGCATAGCAAACAGAACAACTTACATCATTCTCTGCCACCGAAATCCAGAAGTAGCTCAGTTCTGTACTGTTTTATTATTCGTCTTGCTTAAGGAATAGATGGATACAAAATTCGCGCAAGTGGTACATCGTTCTGTATGGCTGGGTTCGTCGTCCCAAGAAACAATGTATCTAGATGTTACACCTTATATCTGGATGTGCAATTAAAAGCGCGTGCTTCTGGGCTAATTTATTCGCATGCGTGAGACATCATGCGTGATGTCATCTTGTTCCAAACCCTCAACCAACATTGCTAAACAG